TTGGCACATTTGAGCAAGGGTGAAGAAGTTAGAGGTGAAAAGGAGTTAGTCTTGCTGGTCACAAGGTGACCGGACGCTGGTCTCAGTGGGACCGGTGTGTCCGGTCAAGTGTGGCAGTAAAGACGCCAGTGTCGGTCTCTGACCGGACGCTGGGTCTTGGACTGACCGGACGCTGGAAGGCTATGTCCGGTCGTGTTGACCAACATCGCAGAATGAAGTCAACAAGTGAACGGACACTGGCTGTGTTCGGTCAAGCATGATCGGACGCGTCCGGTCGTGAAATATCGTTTCTGGAACCTTACTAGAAATGACCGGACGCTGTAGGCTGAGCGTCCGATCAGTTTGTGCGCTGTGTCCGGTCAACAGATGACCGTTGAAATTTGACGAACAGTATTTGAAGCCGGAGACACGTGGCGTGTATCATGTGACCGGACGCTGAGGGCCAGCGTCCGGTCACCCCGTGCTGTACCTAGTGAAGGGGTACAACGGCTCTATTTCGTGGGGGCTTCTATTTAAGTCCCATGGCCGGCTCAAGCTCACTCTCTTGGCCATTTGCATTGACATAGCAACCTTGTGAGCTTAGCCAAAGCCCTCACACTCATCTCCATCATTGATTCATCATCTTTATGAGATTGGGAGAGAATCCAAGTGCATTGCTTGAGTGATTGCATCTAGAGGCACTTGGTATTCGTGTTTTGCTGCGGATTTTGCTTGTTGCTCTTGGTGGTTCCCACCACCTAGATGGCTTGGTGCAGCGGTGGAGGATTGGCACGAGTTGGTGATTGTTCGTGGCCATCTCTGGTGATTGTGAGGGGATTTGTACCTTCCCCGGCAGAGCGCCAAAAGGTAACTCTAGTGGATTGCTCGTGTCATTGAGTTACCTCACTTGTGGGTAGGTTCTTGCGGTGTCCAATCGTGTGGACGAGGTTTGTGTAACACCTCTTAGCCGTCGAACCACCAAGTGTTAGTCGACACAACGGGGACGTAGCGTGTTGGCAAGCACGTGAACCTCGGGAGAAAATCGGTTGTCTCTTGCCATTTGGCATTCTCTCAGTGATTGATTTCATATTCATCTTATGATTGGTTCATCCCTCTACACGGCGGTATAATCACCCTACTCACTCTTTTATATTCTTGCAAACTAGTTGTGGCAAGCTCTTTAGTGTAATTAGAATTGAGAGCTTGATTTGTTATTTAAGTTCATCTAGTAGAGCTCTTTAGTGTAGCAAGATTGAGAGCTCTTAGTGAGTAGTATCATAGCAAGTTGTGTGTCTAGTAATCATTACAACTAGAATTGTTGGATAGGTAGCTTGCAACCCTTGTAGAGCTAGAGCAAGTTTGCATTTCGCTATTTGTCTTACTAATCAAATTGCTCTAGTTGATTTGTAGAATTTTAAATAGGCTATTCACCCCCCTTCTAGCCATATTAGGACCTTCCACCTATGCCTGTGCCCGCTTCCCTCGTCGCAACATTTGCAACATCCTGATCTACTTTAGCAACATCTAGATGAAACACATGCAACATACATCAGAAACAACTGAAACACTTGCAATATACGTCTAAAACACTTTCAAAAATACCTGAAAACATACGAAAATCATTGCAAACATACGCAATATCTAGATAAAACACTAGCAACATATGTGCAAAACATATGCAACATCTAGATAAACACATTTGCAACATACGTCTAAAAAAATAGATGAAACATTGGGAACAGACGCTTGCAACATACGTGTACAACCACTGCAACATATGCAGCATCCCAATTTAATTTTGCAACATCCATACGAAACACTTAAAACATACATCTAAAACAATTGAAACAAAGGCTTACAACATGCCTGAAAATACCTGAAACACTTAAACACAGCGTCACCGGCGGCCATTGCCTACCTGGTGGGGAACTACAGTAGCCTGCAAGCTCGGATCAGGAGGACACCGAGAATAACGGCCCAGCGTACACCTCCACTGCCAGATTTCCCTTCCTATTGTGGTGTCTTCGGCTAGCCGCAGGAGATGCTGTAAAGGCCAGTGACGACCTCCTACTGGTAGCGTCGGGTTGGTGGTGGCCCGGTGACGGTGGGGGCAAGCGCACGGCGTGGAGAGGGACATGGCGCGGTGGGGGAAGGGAGCGCGCGCCATGGAGTGGGACGAACCACAAGAGGATGCGAGTATGAAGAATGGGCAGAGCAGGAGATGGTGTTGGTAGAAGGCTAAAAAATGAGTGGATAGGAATTAACGTAGAGAATGAGTGGTTGAGATGAGCTTGGATTCCATCCGATATTTTTGGAAGTGTCGGACGCTCGGGTTGTAGTGTTTCCGAAAAGGTTAACCAGGTTAGCCGAGAGCACCTGGCCACCTGGTGTGCCTGCTCGATCCTACAACTAGGCAGGACACCGCCTAGGGACAAACAAAGTAGCATATTCATAACCATGGCGATTACTGAAAAACGCAAATGTTTTGGAACTAGAGAGATTATTGTATCCTCTTTTATGAAGTCATGTATACTTAGCATCTTCATTCTTTTGGCTTGTTATTAACCTTATTATTTGTGGTCATGTAAATCAGAAGTAGACCACAAAAATATACAACTGTTAGATGTACATATTGTGCATGTATTTATTAGTCTGTAGTGTAGGGTGCTATCTGCACTTTGTACTTCTTCATATTTGGCTCTTTGGCCACTGCAACAGACTGAGTTGCACATTCCTACCATGGTATCACAGCTTTAGGTTTTCTAGATCCTCTCACATGGCTGTCATCGCTGTGCCGCCAGTGAGCCTCCACCAGCAAGGGCGACGACCAACTCCATCTTCTTCTCCTCGCTCTCCTCCCTCTTCTCAGCCCAGCAACTGTCCGCCGCCGCTGTCGAGCCACGCCGTACGTGACCCTGTGCCAGTACGCACTGTCGAAGCCTGCTGTGCCCCCTGCCCCAATATGTAGGAATGTGTAGGCACGCGTCATCGGAGTTGCGCCGCGCCTCTCTGCTCCTTGCACGTGCGGGTGAGCCCTGAGATACGTCATATTCTAACAAAGGATAACTTAGCAAAATGAAAGTGGCATGGCAATTAAAAGTGTTGCTTTTGCCAAAAAAAAATGAGACAACTAAGCATGTTTTTTTTAATGTCGTTTTGCCCATGCGATTTAGGGCTGCATAAACATTGCATTAGTTCTTCCTCGACCTTGTAGTATTTGTCATACGTTTAGGAGTTGGCTTCAGGTGTTTGGGAGAATTTTAATACCTTTAGTTCTACTGGGGAGGCAACTACTTGTTGGTGGAGAAATGATTTGGTGTTTGGAAAAAACATTCTTATTCTCCTATGTAGGTGGTATGTTTGGTTATCCATTGACTCTTTACATGGGCTATCCTCCAGAAGCATACTTTACCGACTTTGGTCGTTGTGGCATCACAACAATTGCCGGAAATGGTCACGATGTTTTTCTCCCGGACACATGGGTAGCGATTAGTCTTAGGACTGATAATAATTAGAGTGTCTAGTAGTTTCTTTGTTTTGTTTGGTTTAGGCTATGTGCTTTTTTAGAGGTTGAAAGTGGGTTCGCAATTATTGTATCAGCTTGATGTAATAAATGTGAATTAATAAAATTCTGCCCTTTTGGAAAAAAAGAACACACTGCATGGACAGAGTTATACACAATAATGAGATATACTCCCTCCATACTGGTAATTCAAGTCGTTTTGGACAGCGACACGATCCCTAAAACATAACGTTGACTTCTTATTTTTACCAAAAAAAATGAAAAGTCCTTCAAAAAAAATGGAAAGTGACGTTGGATATATTATGGGCTTGACCTATATAATATTTAATAAATCAAATAAACTCTATGGCGTGTAATAAATAATGTGTTGATTATGGTTTAATACCGTACGGGATTTTGATTGAATAGTAACTCAATTTATATGGTTGGATATTGTCCGCCTATATTGAGAAGTTGAGAAAATGACACTGGTATGTGCCACGCGTGCGCGTCGCCGCCGCCAGCCGGCCCGAGCCTAGCCGTGGCCGTGGCGTGGTGAGGCGAGGCGAGCCAGGCAGTGAGCGAGCAGACGGACAGGGCCGTATTTTGCCAATCAAGTCGCATAATTACGGGAGTTTCTTCCGTTTTTAATTGGAGGCGATTTGATGACGGGAGTTTCCTCCGTTACTGCCGCTGAACAATGATGGCGAGAGCTCTCTCGTCTCCTGTCTCTTGATCTCCTCCTGAGCCCTTTCGCTTACCCGCAAGTGACTAAATAGTGCCTCCTTCCGTCAATCAAAAAGTTTGCTGGCAACAACCACTCTTCTGCTGCCTCAAAGTTCCTTTACACGCACGAGTCCTGGAAGAGTAGGCCTCCGAAATACCTGCCGTCTACGAGTTCGCCTGCTCAGGTGGAAAGCGACAATCACGTTTTGGGGGAGTATCGTTGCTGGCACGACTACTCGCTACTAAGGATCTTTGTCTCCAGTGATCAACATTGCTACTCGTTTGCACTGCATCAAGCGGGACAACTACACCGACAGGCACTATGTCTTCGAGTGCATCCAACTCTGCCGCTGGGTATGTTAGTGTTAATCCAACCATTCCCATAAGGTTTTTGGTTTCAATTGCATTTGTTAGTACGCTCTACATATTTGTCATGATAATATCACACAAGCACATACACGATGTCACAAACTTTTTGATTATTGCTATTTTCTGGATTAAATTATTACTGATAATGGTCTAAAATTCTAATAAGTGATATATGTATATTTTTATGAAAGTAGTTTTCAAGACAAATCTATTCATATGATTTTCACATTTCTAAACTCAACAACTTAAAAGTTATTCATAATTTATATTCCCAATGTTTGACCAAAACCCTGTTCAAAACGACTTGAATGACCAGTATGGAGGGAGTATAGGTTAGAGCAATGTCATACTACAAGTTAGCAACGGTAGGCAGGGCCAGGCCAATTAAAATGTCATCAAGGCTCAATGATCCGTCTGATGATGATCAGTCGGATCTTTCTTCATCTGATTTGCGGTAGGCTGATTTCTTTGGCGTCGGCAACTCTTCCTTTCCATTTAGCATCTCAAGAACTTCCGCCATCGTGGGCCGGTCTGCCCTGTCATCCTGAAGACACAGCAGCCCTATCACCACGAACCTTTTGATCTCCGTTAGCTGAGATCCATCAAACAATGACCGATCAAACAAGTCATCTGTTCGTTCAACTTCCAGAGCCTCCCAAGCCTGTCACATAAAACGATATGCATTACCTATACTAGCTTTGTGGATCTATATATGCTCGAAACTCCACAATTTAGAAGCAGACGTCTAAATACTTACCCATTCATATAAAAAGTGGCGATTACGTTGTTCAGATCTGCTCATAGCGCTAAGGGTCTGCAGAAGGATAGCGCCAAAAGCAAACACATCCTTTTTCACTGATATAATAGCATGTAGAATGTATTCCAGAGCCATGTATCCACTGAATATGTTCAAAAAAATGGAATGCCTCAGCAAAGAAAAATGATGGGAAAAAAGAAGGAAAAAAACCCACAAACATGCAATGTACTCAGGTCAGTGGAAAATTTCGTGTGGAAGAATGATATCTTACTATGTTCCTATGACGCAGTCCTCGATGATCTCATCATCCTTCAGCACTATAGATAACTCAAAATCAATAATCCTAGGATTCATATCAGAATCCAAGAGGATGTTGCCTGGTTTCAGGTCCATATGGACAATGTGCTGTTTATGTAGGTAATGTATTCCCTGGGCTACCCCTTCAAATATTCTGCAGAGGGACGGCCAATCAATTTGAGACTCTGCAAAAAAATGCAAATAGCACCATCAAGCAACTATAGGTTGTTGTATTCAACAAAGTTAAGACCAAGAGGTACAAACTATGCTGATATTTGAGTGAAAACTTGCCATGGGTAATCTTGGCCAAGCTTCCGTTTGGCATGTATTCTTCAACCCAAAAATATTCCCTTTCTCTGGCTTGACCGTTTTTGTATTTCAACAGGCGCGTTATCATAGAAGAAGATCCAACTTCATGGCCATATCCTAAAACTTTCACTATATTTTTGTGTTGAAGCTTCGAAGCTAGGAGAAGTTGATCATAAGTACGCACCCAACCTAGTTTATGTGATCTTTTGAACATCTTGATAGCGGCGACATTTCCATCATTTAGTATACCCTGAAATGTATAGACACCAGGTTACATTATTTATTTGTTAGGTTGTGTTACTTGTATAGTTGTATAGACACCCTCAAATGTATAGACTTGTTGAACCCCACATGTAGTGTTGCAACAAGTAAAAGGAATATATCTTATCAACAATTACAATCAATTTATATTTATTGATTTTGTATTTTTATGCTATTGAAAGGCATGCATGCTTTGGACATTAAGACAATTTCTACTACTAAATATTAATAAAGTCTATTAACTTTTTATAAATGTGTATTTATAGGCCTATCAAGTCAAATTCTCTATATATGCTCATTACCACACCATGACCTCGCAGAGAAAATATTGGCAATAAAATGCCAGCAGTAGCACCAAGGAAGCATGGTAAGCCAAACTTCTGGGATCCAACCAAATGAGTGTTAAGTTCATTGCTATAGAAAAACTGTTAATAAATCCTTTGTCATTTGCTTCTTAGTGCAAAATTAATAATGACTATGCACCCACTATCCTGCCTTATATTTCACACTTCAATGTGCCAACCAAACTAACTCCGTTTTGTTCAATGGGGTAGAAACTTTATCATACATCTCAAAGGAAGATACCAATTTGAAATACATTTGAACTATTGTTTCCCCTTTGTTTAAATGGACAAAATAGAACTAATGTCACATATATTATGGCTCGTTTAGCATTCATGGTTTATTTAACTTATAGAACATTTCCAATTAACTCTTAAGATGCTGAACAATATTTCGGATAAATGAAAGTCACGCCATTGAATGTATAGATTCCAAATAATCCAAATAAAATGCTTGAATTAATTTAACCTAACACTTAGAACGTCTAGGTTTCCATAAATGTCAAATTCTCATGATGAAAATGTAGAAAAAATGAGAACACCGAGCATATTAGATACCTTGTAGACATAACAAGAGCCACCTACTCCAATAATGTTTCCTCCATTTATTGCTGCCTTTAACTCAGATATACTGAACCTTCTTAAGGCTGACATGGAAACAACAAATACCATATAGTTTAGGACTTAGGTTACGCAAACATGAAAATGAAGTGGTAGTAAATTCGGTTTGAAGGAGAACAGTGGTAAAATACTTAGATAGCTATTAAGAATAAAATTAAAGAAGTAAATTATAGATTCTAACTAGAAGGCCTGCAGCCAAACGAGTATGCTTTGAATGGAACTGTATATGAAGAATATAAGATTGTAAGATCCATATATCTCTATGTGTGATGAGTGTGTTACTGTAACTTTGGTTTGCTAATTGAGAGGATAGCAGGATGTTCGTGTGCAAGATAAGTAGACATGGCTAGCAGATTGATAAGTGAACCGACATGTTCTTTGGTGCAATGCTAAAGAGTGAACTCTTGTGGCATTGGTGGAGCTGAGGGAATAGTGTTGTGGAAGTGCCAACTTTTACTAAAAACATGTAGTTTCAAACTTAAGAAATAAATTACGTCGTAGAATTCATAATCTTAAAGATTATTGGACATTGATGAGCACAAAATAAATTATAGCATATAAACTGTATAGACAAAAAAAATCTAAATAAATATAAACCGGAATAACAAGTTAAACACAGGGAGAAACTCTAATTGAAAGGTTACTTGTCTTATATTTTACTTTCTATATGTCTATTAGCAGGACCTTTTGCTATGGATTTTTTAAACATTGTACATTTTACCTTCCAAATAGCTATTTACAAACTTGTGAATAGGTCATAACTTTTTCTAAGGAAATTGTTAATTGGAATATTTATGTAGAGAAAAATTAAAAATCGTTCCTGTTGAAACCCACTAAAGGAACAAAGCTAACAGAAATGCCATCTTACCTACTAAAGGAGCAAAGTGGGCATCACTTCCTGTTAGTGCATGGTTTTTCTTGGCATTCAAGCCAGATCTGCCACTGTTGCCATACATTCAAAAAACAGATTTTATGTTCATAAAAAATAAACAAAATAAAACAATGGATATCAGAATGCTTATGTTTTTTTATAAGGACTTAAATTATTAAAGCGTTAAAACAGAGTACAAAGATTTGAGATCCTCCATCCCAAAGAGTAGACTTCTAGCAGCCTAGATACCTCAGAAGAGTCAACATGATGACTTAAGCAAAGGTTGCAAGGGTACATGATGATTTAGAGATCAGAAAACTGCACTTCTGCTCGAGTAAACATAGGTGGTATCTCCACCGAGGGCGCCGGACCGTAAGAGAGAAATGGCCATGGCGAAGACATCGGGGATCCTCAATGTTGCAGTCTGATAGTATAGTCGGCGCTCCACCGAGGGCGCCGGGCCGTAAGAGAGAAATGGCCACGGCGAAGACATCGGGGATCCTCAATGTTGCAGTCTGATAGTATAGTCGGCGCTCCACCGAGGGCGCCGGGCTGTAAGAGAGAAATGGCCACGGCGAAGACATCGGAGCCTTGACTATCTAATCGGTCTGTATCTGCGAGGATTTGAGATCTCGAGTAGTAGATGTTGATTGAGCGTCACCGAACTAAATACATTGACGCTACTTCTCCCAACGTTGAATCTGAGGACCATCATCGACGGGTATCGCAGGTCAACCCGAACGCTAGGAGCAGCTTGGCCACTTCTATGTTTGCACCCAAGTGAAGAACAGGAAGTGAAATTATTTATTGTTAAAAGTACCCAAGGAAAAGCTTGCTGGATACCGCACCACTTGCTTGTGCTTGAGGTCCATGTGGGCCCATGCTTGTAGACGTGGAGAAGCACCGTATCTTTGACTGTCTGCAGGACACGCAACTGTCACCTTGGTTCATGCCATGCACACTACTGTATAGCTTTAGCCAGACGCGGATTTAACACGATCGGACCCACATGCGAAGAATCTGGAGGCGCTGGTGGGTCCCACACGCGTGCAGACCCCCAGCACAGGATTGCTCCGGAAGCCAGCGCATGGAGCTCGGCCGCCTCTTCGCCGGACCGCTGCCAGCCCCCAATCCACGCCAAGGGTGGCCACGGAGCGGAGCGCGAAGACGTCACGAGTCAGAGTTGAGCCAGTCGCCAAGCTCTTTGCGTTCCTGAGCTTGAACGGACGAAACTTGGCCTGGGCAATCCGTCGAACAGATGTGGTGCATGGAGCGTCTTCCAAGGTCGGTGAAGAAGAGCAGCACCATGGAAGGCCGGGAAACACCGACGTGTCCGCAGGCATGCCCTGAGCACTCGAGACAAAGGCCATGCCGGAGAGCACAGGAATCCCACCAAATGGATCCGCGCTGTGCCACGGCATGCACAAAACGGCACCATGCCGCCCCTGTAACCACCGAGCACAGAAAGACAGAGGGAGAGAAGAAGGGGCTATAGTGCCACAAAAAGGAGATTAATGGACTGAAAGTTCCTACAAAATGAAGTTGTTGCACCATATTGTCCTAACACCATCAGTTTCTATTTTGAAAATGGAAGCAATAATATCTGCACTAACAACTTAAAAAGACATCAAGTCAGTGAGGACACAAACAGCCATACCCAGCATTTTCAGTTGAATTAGTGTTATGTGATACAGTCGGCAGTCCTGCATCCTGAAAATGGAAAATAATTCAACTATGGTGTCAAAGGGGAGCTTTTATAAGAGCACAAGTGTCATCACCTCAAATTGATAAAATAAATTCTTTGGGGAAGACCAGATGACCCAACAATGATTTGAAGGAAAAGTAGCATCAGGTGAGCCTTTACAAGCAATGAAATCATCAGTTTGTTTCTTTATTAGTTGTTGAATTATAAATCCCAAGTTTCAAGAACGATTTTGCAAATTCTAAGAAATCTCCTAGTAGTAATAAAGGAACAAGCAGGCGTACCGTACCTCTGGCTGCCGGCGCGGAGGATCCCCACCAGCCTGGATAGTAAGCAATACAATAGTGGTGTGGGTGTTGATGGCGAAGGACGCCAGCATCACTTTGTTCAAGATGTCATCTTTTACCCGGCGCAGTTGTTTGGACAGATCCCCAGCCGTGATGAGGCGCCGGAGGGTGCTCGTCTCCTGGCTGGATAGTAAGCAATACAATAGTGGTGTGGGTGTTGATGGCGAAGGACGCCAGCATCACTTTGTTCAAGATGTCATCTTTTACCCGGCGCAGCTGTTTGGACAGATCCCCAGCCGTGATGAGGCGCCGGAGGGTGCTCGTCTCCTGGCACGCCGTCACGAGCTCGAGGGCGTGCTGGAGGCTTTCCTCCAAATCCTCCAGGGCGCCGCTCATCGCAGGGCTAGCCTCAATCACCCCCGTCTGCTGCAGCTGCGACAGGATAGCGCTGAATCTGAGCACGCGCTTCCTGATCTCCTGGCATTCCTCCTGGTTATGGCGCACTGTGTCCACGGCGTCCTTGATCTTGAGCCCGATTTTGACGATCTTCTCCACGGTGGCCACCGGATCGGCCATCCTTCCTGCCGCCACACAAGGGACAAGACTGCAAGCGCAACCTGCAAGAACGCCGCCGTGCATCAAGCAGTAGCAGATTGACTGGATTCTTGAAACATTTCACATCTTATTGCGCCAATGTACAGCCAAATAATCAAGAATAGCAAATAAATCTGCCCACCTCGAGCTTCCTTCTAGTAGCTTATGCAGATCGAGCAATGGCCGGCCGGACGGCCAGCCTCTGCTCACTCGGCACTCGGCAGCGACTCTGCTGTGGGGGGAGGACGAAGCCGAGCGGAATCTCACGACTCGGCCTTCTGCTCTGTTTTTGCTGGGCCCGGGCACATGTGACGGGAGTCAGAGATTTTTTTTTTTTGTGTGTGCGATTTTCTGTGGCAAGACTGCAAGAGCCATCGAGAGAGCACACGATTTTGCCGAGCATAGAAACAGAAGATCCGGTAGGGAAAGAAACGAAGTGATAACTCACGGTCACGGGTGCGCCCCAGGAAGAACCGCGTCGTGCCATCCCAGGGCCGGGGCCACTTGTACTTGCAGCTTTCTTTTTCAAATGACCATTGGCAAGTTTACATCTACGATATATATAGTCATGATTGGAATAATCAATAAAAGGAATGGAAAACCTATATAGGGATAAAAGAAAGAAAACACAGAAAATTGTCAAGGCGCATGTTTGGAATGCGGGAATGAAAAGAGTATATGAAACTTTGGACTTGATTGCAATATTAACTTTTTATGCTAATCAAATCCTTGAGAAAATATAGGCTAATTCAGAACATCATTTTTCAGTATAAACTAGAGAGAGAAAGCCCACCCAAGCGTACAGAACACATCTCTCCCATCTTCTCTTTATTTTCCGCAATAGGCAAGTTCTACCTAAATAAAGCCTTAAGTGCTCGTCATGGAGTCATCTCCTCCTTTGCTTAACCTCACATTAGCTTGATCGAGAGCTCATTGAGGATAAAATGGGCCTTGAGAGTGGCAAGTAGATAGAGCCAGCATAGTGCATGGCGCAAGAGCCACAAGAGACTAGAGACGACAGTGGCTTCTGTGTCTGCAGCAATAAAGCTCGACACGTTGCCTCGCTGTGAAGGTTAGATTAGCATGTTCAGAGAGCGAGTGGCCACAGGAAAGTATTCCACTGACTCGGAGCTCATCTTTGTTTTCCTCCAAAAGTACCTGCTTCTTCATCACTGTTCCTATTGAAAGTTCTTTGTTAATTCCTCCGTATCAAACACACATTGGCGTCAGCAAAACAGAGATTTGGCGTTTCGTTGAAATTCCTTCAAACTTCCTCCATTCCAAAAGGTCTTAAAATATGAATCAAAATCTTCTATCGAAATGTTTTACAATATGATTTGAATTACTTTTTTTGCGAAAAATGGTTTGAATTACTAATTAACAGATTAAAAAATTTTCCAGGTGAATGAAAAGTTGTAATAATCGTGCTGGGAACTTTTTTAGCAAAACATCCCATAAAGGTGAAATCATGATCTTGACAAAGTGATGTTTAGGCTTCCTTTGTCTTGATCCCGATTTTGACGATCTTCGCTGCGTACTGTAGCCACCGGATCGGCCATGTTTATATGCACCTTCTGATTCCTGGCACACAAGATAGTACAGATCCACCTGAATCCAAGAGCAAATTAATTAAGATCGAGAAACCTTTCTGAACTTGTCAAGTATGCCCTTGTTTAGTTCCAAACTTACAAAAAATTGCTACAGTATCTGTCACATCGAATGTTTGCGGCCCGTACATGGAGTATTAAATGTAGACGAAAAGAAAAACTAATTGCACAGTTTGGTGGGAAATTACGAGACGAACGTTTTGAGCCTAATTAGTCCATGTTTGAACACTATTTGCCAAATAAAAACGAACATGCTACAGTAGCCCCAAAATCCAAATTCCTACAACTAAACACAGCCTATAGCAATTCTTCTTACCTCTAGCTTCCTCCTAGCTGCTCGCCTGTACCAAGCTATCGAGCTCGGCTGCTGCTCCTCCGCGTTGCTCCGTCTCCGTAATTGGCACTCCTTTTCCCCAGGAAAATAGTGCAGCGAAATGGACAACACACCTGTGCTCTGGCCAGTGGGATCTCGCAGCCGTCTAGCTAGCTAGTCTTTTTTTTCTCAAAAAATAAAAATAAAAGTCTAGCTAGCTTGTTCGTCGGATTTAGCTGGGCACAAGCCGGCGTCCGCTTCCGGTGGCTGGTGAGAAGAAAGACCTGCAAACCCATCGCCAAGTCTTTGCGAGGAAAATAAATGCAACAATGACACTCATTGTCCTTTGGGAAACCGTGTCTGGGTGCACTCCATAGTTCCAAGTCTTTGCCACTATACTAGGAGTGGGGCATGTTGTGAATCAAAGTCTAAGAAACAATTCTGCTCGCTTAAGGTTATTCAGAACTACTTTTCAATCATGAAAAACAGTGTTTTTTTCTCGCAACATTTCAGCATAAGCATCAGAATAAGCCAAATTTCAGCATCAGCGAACAGGGTGTCAACAAGAGAATTTGAATGGTGGCCAATTAAATGGAGAAGAGGAAGGAAGGCAAGAGTTCAAATACTGTAGCAACTTTGTATCATTCAGTGTCTTCCTCTATAAAAGGGGAATCACTTTCAACTGACGTAAGAAGTAAGAAGAAGCAAAAGTGAAATACAGAAAAGTGACTCCCTCTTCCTCTCCACTTTTGTGTTCACCTGTGTCTCTCTTGTTTGTGCTTGTGTGTGCCGAAAGAACACAATTTCTAACAAATTATCAGCATGATTTCTACCGAGCTAAGGGTAAGAAAAAGGTTTACAGAAATCAGTTCAACTAATGCTTTTTCATCGTACTACTATGCTCTGAACATGCATATACACAAGAACATGAGCACGTTTTTACTTCTTGTGTCGTTGGCGCATCGGCAACGCCCGGTGACACGAAGGCGGCTCAGCCGCCATCGCCATCCATCGCCGGAGATGAACATGTGTACCTCACCGCCGTCCCGGAGACGTTTGTGTAGACCTGAGCCGCCCAGTCGCTGCGGGCGCGGACGAGCAGGCCTTGACAGGCCGCCGCCGCGGGCATGGACGAGCAGGCCTTGACAGGCCGCCGCCACAGCCACCCCGACCGCCGACGGGCGAGCATGAAGGTCGAGCACGAAGGGCGAGCACAAACGGTGAGCACGAAGGGCGCACGTGCGGGGCTCCTTCACAACTGCCACAGCTTTGGCTGCCCCAGGCGCACGACCGCGTGCAGCCTGGCCCTGCAGACCGCCGCCCTGACCATCGGCTGCCACGGGTGTGGGCATGAGCTGGTCCGGCCCCGGCCGCGCTCAGATTGTCCGTCCCAGCCGTGGCCCTAGCCCGGCCAGCCACCGCCGGCCCTCCCGGCCGCGAGCCCAGGCCACGGGTAGGCGTGCTGGCCCGACAGGCCGGCCGCCGCCGTAGCCGCCCCGGGCATGGGGGCACACATGGGCCGACTGGCCCGGCCGCCGCGCAGGCCTGGCCATCACGTAGGCCACGGGAGCAAGCTGTCGGCCGCTGGCTGACACCACAAGCGGGCATGAGGACGCGGCCGCTCCTCCCTCCTTCAGTCTTTCCCTGCGTGAGCGCCTAGGCATGCCGCCGCCACCCTCCACTCTTTCACGTGGGCTGCCACAGGCACGAGCCGCGGGCGCTGCCCCCCACCTTTTCCCTACGTGTGTCTGAGAGAGGAGATAAGGGGGAGAGAGATGAGGGTTAGGGTTTTTCCCTTGGGTTTTTTGGATCGAAGCCATTACAATTCTTCAAAGTTGGAGAAATGCCATTACAATTTGGGTATTCTAAAACATGCCATTATAATTCTGGGTGTTGCTGGTGCTGGCCATTTTCTACGTATGTGAACAGCTCGGTCCCACTGTCAGGTCGAGGAAGGCGTACGTGACTTTCGTATGGACATCGATGCCCTTGCTTGCGTGTTACAAGCCGCCGCAGCCCTCTCTCCCGTTCATTCCATCCCCGACCCATGCTCCTCTCTGTCTTCCTCTTCCTTTCCCTAAGAACCCTAACCCTAGACTATAGCCGCCGCTAGAGACCTACGGAGCTGCAACGGTGACCTACGGAGCTGCGACGGCGACCTACGGAGCTACAACGGTGGTGGCAGCGGTTGGTGGTGTTGCGTCTGTGGCCGACGCATCCACCGGAGGAGATGCAAGACCCATGAAGACGACGGGCGAGGTCTTCCTGCATCTGCGCCGTAGTGCTGCGGCGGAGATGGAGGACTGCAATAGCAGGTAATGTGTGCGCGTCCCCTGTTATCAGTTTGAGCACATAGTGTAGTTGACTTGTGCTTGCCTATTTACACTTCGATTTGGGACTCGATTTGATTGTTGGTAGGAATGGTATGTTTGCGGTAGAGGTTAAAGTCCACGATTTCGCTACGAAAGACTCAGATGGTAGGAAATCATACACTAAAGGCACTGTGATTAAGTGGGATGTGGAGTTTGGGTCTTTAACGCTTGAACTGTTGGTGTCAAGTATTGCAAATGAATTGAATGTGCCCTCTAACTAGTTACCCACAGTGTGGTTCTTTGATAAAGGACTGCATGAGGATGTCAGATTAATTAGTGAAATTCAGATGGTTGATGTCTTTGAAATGTACAAGGAAGAGATGGGTTGTCAGCTTGTTGTGGGATTGTTTGATAATGATGCTGAGTTTGATGACCTACAATATTTATGTACAATTCCTCCTGAGGTTAAATTTGAGATACCCAACAATGATTTTTTCATTGCCGATGAACCAAATAGTGCTGCTGCTAACAATCCAGAGGCTCCTGAACCCAGTACTGCTGCTGCTAACAATCTAGAAGGAGATACTGATTTAGAGCCTAACCAAGGTGATGATGTTGATGTAGAGCCTAAGAGGGAGCCTGATATCTTTGATAATCCTGAAGAATATGTTGGAGTTGATGATGAACAAATCTATATTTCAGTTGCTAATGCACAGCTATTAAACAATGCTTATGATTCTGTTGATGCTC